TTTGAATTCCTACACTTTAAAGGTAGTATGTTTATTCATTTGTTTCTGCATTAGAGCATGTGTAACATTGGCATCTAGCCCTCTACAAAGGGTGTTTGGTGGAGGATCAAATACAAAATTTTCACATATGATCCTCTCTAATCGTGTTTAGTCTAGTTCAACATGTCAAACTTACAAACCCAAGTGGTATGTAATACACCAATTCTATGAATATTTAGTTTTGAAAGATGTATTTATTTATCTATTTTTTCTGCGATAACGAGCATTAGAGAAGTTGAAATCAAAATATGAAGTTGTCAAAAAGATGATTGTTAAATTGGGCACCCGAGGAAAGGTCGTTTAGCTCATAGCATAATCAACATGTAATATTCTCTCTACATTCTTATATTAGGATTCGGCTGCGTGTTAAAACACCAATAAATAACAATTTTTTACTAACTAGTAGGAGTTATTTTTTAAATGATAAGATTTGAATTGGAACTATACCTTTTAGAAGTATTGATCCTAGAGAATAATTTTTCTTAATATTTTCAAGCGATAAAAGGATAAAAAAAATATTTAAAATAGGGGCATAGCAATAAATACACAAGCAAGCATTTGCTTCATGTGTACTAAGTAAATATTTAAAGTGGGGGCATAGCAATAAATAGTCAAATACACAAGCAAGCAAGTGCTTCAAGAGGAACATCGCGACCCTTGTCAATTGTCACGCATACAACAATTTAATACTTGAAAAAGAATTTCAACATGCAAATTATATGACTAAATAAGTAACTTATAAGTAGAAATACGTTAAAAATTTGAGAATTCTAAAATTGTGAGAATCAAATTTACGCAAAAATAGAGTAACTAACAAATCGCTTGTTCTTATGAATCGCACCAATACAACCAAATCAAAGTAACTTAGAACATTTAAAGGACGAAACAAGATCTTATTAGCAATAAAATTCGTGTGTTTACGATTAATGTTATCTATGACCACTAGTTGTGCTATACGTACATAACGGTTTACATAATGATTTATCAACAGATGATGCGATGAAAATTAATTGGATTAAAATTTCATTAATCAAATAACTTTCCAATTTACATTTTGACACCTTATCACTATGTAAAATATTATGTAAATAGTTATGTACAAGAAATATTTTCCCTAACGACTAGTAGCTACTTTGTTCAATAAAGTTGGAATGCATTTTATTTATTGGGCAATGTGATATTAACCCTTTGTCACCTAAACTTATGTTATTGTCATATTTTAGCGTCTATAAGAAATTTTATACTTTTTTTTTCACTATCTTCTTTACGTCAAGTTACATTGAACAAGGTGTTAACTAAGCGGTGATAGGTACTATATAGACGTGCGTGGGATGCAAGCACAGCATGGTTTGGCTGTAGGGCTTGGTTGAGCTTAGAGCAAGTGTTTTGCCCTCCTATTTTTTGATCCTTCGAATAGAACCTTTGTAAAGAAATCAAGCAGACGATACCTGAAAGAAACAAGAGTCAAAGACAACATGCAATGCTATGAGTACACGAAGATTTTACAAAATTTCAATAGGAAATAAACTTGGCAAGTTAGCATTGAAAGGGGGAAAAAAGGCTAATAGAGTGCTGACGTGCTGTTCACCGTTAAAAATTCGTGCAGCTTTATTGGAAGAGGCATAAGAGAAGGCAGAAAATTGGTCCTAAAAACTCTTTGACAGCAGACCACATGGATGCATTTAAGGATTTGCAGAAGCAACGTGTTGTGCTATGAAATTATTATGTACATGAATATTAAAAATAAGTTTTTAGTAGATCTTGATAAATGTTGATGAAATGTGTGGTTGAAAATTTGTGAATATTATGAAATGTGGTTAAAATTAATTGTTGACTTTGACAAAATCAATATTTTAATCCCTGCCAAGCAGGTATATCTCTTTCATTTATCTTTGTTGAAGGGTATGATTGTCTTTTTTGCCACCTTCACGGATGTTTAAGGTAGAAATTAGAAATTATCAAAATTAATAAGGAAAATTATGGTTGTACACCATGTCATACAGCATGGTGCACAGCCCCCTCACATGTGAGGAGGGCCCACCATGAATAAAAATTTGAGGACCCCCTCTATGTGAGGGGAGTGTACACCATGTTGTACGTACATGTAGCAGAGTTCAACTTATAATTGAATATAACGAGTGTTAAAAATAAAATAAAAATTGTGGGTTCTACCAAACTTGTGAATAAAAGTAGAGTTGTTCAACTTGTAGATAATTATAAGATTTGGCAAACATGCATAAATATTTAGGAAAATTGCATTATTTATTCTCAACATTTCCTAGAAACTATAGTTTCGTCCCTACTTTTGATTAGAGGTGTTCAAAAGTTCCGAACCAAATCGGACCGAACCGAACCGAACCGAACTCGAACCGAATCGAGCGGTTCTTCATAAATTAAATACCCGAACGGGTACCCGAATCGAGAACCGATGGGTTTGGGTCGGGTCTCGGGTCTAGACCAAGAACCGAAACGAAATAATTTTTTTA